TTAAAGATTAAAAGTTACAACATTACAAAGAAACACAAAGAGAACAAACCTTAGTTTTGGGTAAATCGAAATGATATGATCAAAGAGGGTGGAGTTGAAGGAAAAGGAGTGAAAGAGAGGGTCTTTATATACAACACTTTGAGCACAGGATAAAGGAATATATGGAGGACTGTGTACGTACTTTCTCGTGTTCTTCACATTTTGCCTTGATAAATGAAATATTTATATATAAAAGAAAATTTAAAAGAGATAAAGGGAAATTCCAGTTATGATTCCAAAGACCACAAAATTTTGAAAGTTTTAACAAACGATTCGGTTTCTTTTTTATCCTTATATCAACATTTTTTAATAGTAATGCAACTGTTAATAATTATAAGTAGTATATGTTCATAATCTTTATTAAGTACGGTTGACATCGTAAATACATCTTGAAAACACAACTGTTAAAATTATGAGAAAAAATAACATTTTCTTATAAGAAAATATATTTATCAAAGTAATATATTTTAAATATCACATAGGCGTAATTATATCACATCAGATATATCTTCTAAGGAAACATAACATTAATCATACTATCAAAAGTGTATTGACAAGACAAAGTTTCTATCTTATATGACATTAAAGGATTAAATTAAAAGAAATAGTGTGCCCAAGAGAAACTACTATGATCTTTGTCCAAATAACACACAATGCACGATGAAGACGTGTTTACACAAATACAAACAATAATAATATATGTATGTAGATCTTATCTTCAATGACATAATGAATATATACTTAAAATAGTATATTTAAATACTTGAAATAACTTATGAATGTTGGATTTACTACACGTACCATATATGTTTCTCTCTCTTTCTTTTAAATTCATAAAAGAAATTCTTCATTACTTCTCATTTTTAGTCATTGACAATACATGTTGTATTCAAAACTCATAAAAGATAAGTTTAGTCAACCATACCTTCTCAAGACTGTGTCACGTAAGTAAAAATATGCCCAATCAGTCGCATATTTCTTGTATTTAAGTGTTATATACACAGAAACACATCTATTCAACTATGTCTTCCTTAAATTTTAGTGAATGGATTATTATTTTTTTATAGGAGGGAGAAGAAAAGATTGTTTAGAGATCGAATTTGTTAATATTGATTTTATATTATTCAACATTTTAACACTTGATTTTAATTTCATTAAAAAAAATTGATATGATCCGATTTAATTTCAAATTTTATGATATTTTGGCAGCCCGGCAAATGATGCAGCAGAAAAGCAAACGGGAGATCCTGTTACCCTATAAACACAACAAAGCTGATATAAAAGAAAATATGTTCAATCAAGTACACAAAAATCTCTTTGACCATTTGCCTTGGGACCCTCCTTCCTCCTTACGAGCCGCAATGGCATTTTTAGAAACAATATATTACAACAATCATATCCGAAACATGAACTTATAAAACTCTTCAATTTCATATTTTAAAATCATCGAATGAGTAAAAATAGACGAATAAAAATAACAACTGGAAATGAGAAAATATTCCATGAAAGATGAGATAATCATAAATGTTTATTTCCACTCATCCAACTATCTTAAAAAATTTAACATAATTCGAATGAATAATACTGATGTGACATAAGTTGAACCAATGAATGTGGTACATTTAATTAGATTATGAGTACAGATTGTCACTTTCAATGCTACAACAATGACAGTCAAACACACACATATATGAGAAAACATTGCTATTGCTTTTACATGTTTGAATATTCTCCTTTTTTTTTGGTACTTAAAAGACCCAATTTGGTAAAGCAACCCTCCATTAAATTTACATAAAACCCAAACCATTCTGATTTTTCATTTTTGTAGTGCATAGTAATAAGGACTGTTGCTTTATTCATTTGTAACATGCTCACCTTTTCTGATTGAGTTTTACTCGTAATATTAAATGAATTGGTTTTATTAGAGTTAAATTAATTAACAGTTAAGTTTATTAATAAAGTATATATTCGTAATTTGTTTGAATAATTGAATTACGGGTTCTCACTTGACTGTTTTTTTCTCCCAAACACTGCTTTTCAATTTTTTTTTTTATCTTTGGTTGATAGGTTATGGCATTAGTTTTGGTGCTGGTCGTTGACGTTGATATTTTTTTTGTTTTTTCCGTTTATTTTCTTATATCACGTATTTTGTTTTCCCTTTATGTTTATAAGTTATTAATAGTTCTACTTTTATAACACGTTTTTCTCTGTTTTATTGTCACATTTCCATCTTTCTTTTGGCACATTTTTGATCGTTTATTTGTTGTTTTCTTCTATCTTTTTCTCTCAAGGTCGGATTTGACATCTCCATGACTGATAAAGATGACGTTTATTTGTTATTATGTTTTCCTGATTTGGACTCTTATATTGAATTTGGATACGTGATTTTTATTCGTGGATAATTCTCTCACGCCGTTCGACTCCGATTTACTTTTTTTCGGTAGTCTTTCAATAGCTCATCTCCTTTTTTGGTTCGTTTATTCGAGTTTTTAGGTTAGGCTTTTAACCTTTTCCTTGTATGGTTCTTGTGTGATCTTAAGTGTCTAATTTCTTGTGTTAACTGTTATAGAAAAATATCTTAATTACATGTTTATGTATTATGATTGTAAACTTTTATTAAAATTGTAGATATTTCCTCCTTTTAATAAAACTAATTGTTTCTCTAAAAAAACATAATAGATAATAAATCTTGAGCAATAATAATTTATTTTATAGTATAGTCTTGTTATCACTCATAATACAAACACGATGATATTAAAATTGATATAAAATATTAGACAGTATAATTGAAGAGAGTAACAATGAAATGATGCATGGAGGAGGGAAGAAAAGGGAAGAGCAAAATGGTGAGTTTCAATAAAGATAAGTTTGAAGGTGATGACGTGTTCTTCCAGGTTTTCTCATATTGACCATCTTTTCCTTTTTCTCTTTATGCGCCTACCTGCTTTCATTATCCATATTTATGATTAAATTATGATTAAATTATGATTAAATATACTCTCGATCGAATTATTTGAATTATTTATTAAAATAAAAACAAAATTGAGAATACAAATTTAAATGTCAGGGTAAAGCAAGAAGAGAGCAAAGCGCAAACTGTAAAGAGAGAGGGCTGATTTTATTCGCCTTGGGAATCGTTTCCATGCATTCATTACGACCAACTTAATATTCCTCTCTCCTCTTATATAAAGTTTAAAAAAATAATATTAACTGAAAGTGTTATTAAGACTGTATTTTTTTAAAATTTGATAATGTAATTTTATGTTAAATTGAAAATATGATTTTTTTTTGATATTTTCGATTGCAATCGAAAATATTATAAGTTTGTACAATATTTTTTGTTGTTGTAAATTTTGAAATAACCGCAATGTAACTTTTTTGATTGTAAATGAAAATAAATGCTTAACAATTTTAAAATTATCATTTAAGGTGTCTAACTATTAACTATCATTAAAAAATTTATCATCTAAACGGTACTTGACACGTAGTATATTTTTTTATTTTCTTTAATTTTATTTTAAAAGAAAAAAAAACAAAAATTATTAGTTTTCTAAATCCCTGCAAGATCCTTAAATTACCCAAAATACTTAAACCCATAACCCAAAATCTTTAAATCTCATAGGTTACTTTTGAATCAATCACCTTTTATGTCATACGACTCCCAGCGATCGATCACTCCCATTGTCCTCGTACGCTGTCGCTGAATCCCATGACACAAAATCATTTTTTCACCCATTTATCGGTTGATCGTTCGTTGGCGAGACTACATCGCTACTCGAACCTCCAACTGTCTTCGTCGCCTGATCTTCAATCTTTAAGGGAATTTGAAGATCAAAATATTTATAATATTATTACAAACATATCACTACATTGTTAAAATTGAAACAAACATTTAATTTGGTCTGTCATAATAATAATTTTAATCCCGCAATTTATACATTCTGTCAATTTGAATACAATTCAAATATTTCATAAATTAACCCTTTAAATTTAAAATTTTCATCAATTTAATTGTTTTTAAATATTATCAAACAAACAAGTCAATCAGATCAAAATTACAGTTCGAAAACTGCATTCTACTACAAAGTAACAAAAAGTTAATGTTAAAATGTTATTATACTAGAAAAAATAACATGAAAGTAATAGATTATTTATGAGAGAAGAATAAGAATTTTTTTTAATCTGGGTTTGTACAAGGTAGTATATGTTCAAAAATAACTCTCAACCTTTTGATATTGAAGGTTCACACCCCTGACATTTCTGGTGTTCAAACCCAATACCTCAAGGAATAAAAATAATTCTTTTACCACCGATGTCAATAGGATTCATGCAGAATAATAAGCAATTTAGAAGAACAAAAACTAAATTAATAAAAAATTTAAACGCAATAATATCAAATTTTATCTTTAACATTGGACTAAATAGTTTATTCTTTTTTCTCTTTTTTTTAAACATCTTAGCTTTTATCGTTTCATTTTGGGTTAAAATATCGCTTTTTGGGCAAAAATTAATAGTTAAAAATGATCAACACTTCCTGTTTATTAGATGAATCTATGTGGATCGAATGCTTGATATAATATGTCCATGTTTAAATAAGTGATGGCGTTGCATAATATTACATCAATAAAAAATTATTAAATTAATTATAAATTTTAAAGATTGAAACTGTTACATCAAATAAATGCATTTAACCATTAGAAATGTCATGATCAACATTCAAAGCATTTGTTATATGTTGAGTTACAAAAAAAAGTAATTCAATTTATTAACTTTCGTTAGATTTAGTTCAATAGTATATTAGTAGTTTACGGATACTCGAATCTCACCTCTTCGTTAAGCATTTAAAAAATATCATATATATAAAAAAAATATAAAACTGGTTTATATTGTGCAAGTAAATTCTAACTCTCATTATATATAATATTTTGTTGTAAAAATTATGTAATTCAAACATCATTCTAGCAAGTACGATCTACATAAGGAGGATTATTATGCTGGCATCTCAGTTACTAGCTCATCAACATAGTCGATTTCTCGGCGACAGGCGAGCACTGTTGCCGTGTTACTATCATCAGTTTGCAGTGTCGAGTGAGAAGGCGGCGGGTTAGTCCAAGGCATCGTGAAAGTTGTGCAATGCATTGGGGAAGGGGTGAGCAAGGTTGTTCCACATACAAGTAACACTGTCAGTGTTTTCGGATTGTAGATGTTGGAAGAGAGGGGAAGGAAATTGATCAACTAACTGACCAAACATCAGCCTTAGTGTTGTACAGTGCACCGGGATTCGGCTGTCGTCCTGAAGACGGTCGAACACCAGTGCATAGGACAACACGGGGTGATGTCTTGAAACTCGAGTCGTTAACGAAACTGATGAGAGAAAACAAGATAGAAGGCTATGCTACTAATTTCTTATATCTCATTAACTAATACTAAAATGCTCAGAAAATACAACAAACTTAGTTATTACAATCTTCAAGGTAGTTATAAGGTTTTAAGTTAAGAAGGCTAATTTCAACTATACCTTATACCCAACATGCTATTTTTTTCACTATCTGCTAGTCCGTATCAGCCATTGTTGTTGCTCGAACTAAGAACCGATGCTTATCCTACGTTCAACGGGATCCATCGAGCCCGAGTCTCGATGTAAGCCAATTGCATACCTCATCCATCTCTTTAGGGACTGTGTAATGGCCAATCCTGCAAACCAAATCAACCAAAAGAACTCAATATGTTTCAGGGTTTCACAATGAGATCGTAAAGGCCTAATTGATTACCCTTCATAGTTTTTGAAAGTGAGATTCCAGAATCCTGCTATATTCAATGAATGAGCAGATTTTTCGCCGAATTTGTAGGGGACAACATCATCACCTGCAATAAGATTATAAGTGGATTTCGAATATAACATCTACCAGTTCATTGTTATGTCTGAATTGAACTCTAAAGCTATATGACAAAGCAGGACTTTCCATGTTCAGAACATTCATGTTACTCCATATTCATGTCCGGCACTCGTGTTTGGGACATCCTCATGTTGGAAAATATCGATGTCTGACTTTTAGGCCCGAGTCCAACTAATATAGCTCAGATTAAGTAACTAGAGCCAGAAAAAAAAGACAGATTGGTGGGTTGATTTTTAGAGTTTTGGACAATTTCTGGCTTCAGTTTCTTATGCTGATCTAAAGTATTTTCTGAAAATAGACAAAGATGATTACAGGTTCCATGGCTAAGCAAAATCGGCAATGATGTGGCACGCCTTGCAGCTTCATTTGATGCCTGTATCTTGTTCCTTAAGCCCCTGCAAAGCCAACAGCTTTTGATGAGTATTTTGTTCAAACTTGAGAATCAAATCACTATATCATGAATTCATGATGATTTCCAAAAATAATCTCTATGAAACATGGAAGGGTATGCTCTAACACATATTCGAACATAGGTACCCTCACGATTATGAATTGAACATGCAGATGCTGGAAACATATTCTATCCGACACTAACACTTCTGTTTGAGTAACATAAGATGCCGTACCTTGAGCCGGGAAGCCATCCGCTTAGCCCAACAACAGCCCTAAGGTTGATGGGGTATGGGTTGCCATTTCCATACCTTCCTAGAGCACAAGCAGTTGCAGAGTAGAGGGCCATTGCAGCACCCATACTAAAACCTCCAATACCAACCTTAACTATCAAAAGGAAACAGAAACCAGTTTCAAAACCAATATACATATACACACACACACACACACACTTATACATACATACAAGTAGAGAATGACAATGATTTTAGAATACCATCAGGTGGCTCAGTTGACAAAAAGTTTGCAATATGTGCTGCTGAAGCATCTAAACCTTCCCAATCATCTGGACCCTCTTCTGAAAGCTCACCAGCATCAAACCCTGATGCCAAAGCATTCACATCTTAGCAAACCGTATGATAAAACCTACGTTGCTCTTTCATTTTTCTCGAAATATTCGTGTCTAGCACATGTGTCCAACATATTACTACGAAGATATGATCTCTAAGTACATGAAAAGAACTTTTAAAAAACGACCATATATTAATGAGACACGTACGTGTATCCAACACTCATGCTCAAGTCTGAATAAGAATAAGATATGACTAAGCCAAAAAAATTATTACATGCAGTGCAAGGAAACCCCCCAAGTAAAGCCACAGGACGAGTTGGCGCAGTTGGACAAATCCATTTTATCTGAAACATATAATAGAAATAGAGATTTGAACTATTGGAAGATATACCAATATTATTAGTTCAAAGTAATGGATGAAGATATCCTTACATTTGGAAGAGGAAGACTTTCCAAGAGCTGAGACCAACTGCAACAAAATACGAATAAATGTGCAAATTTAGATTTCGAGTGTCAAATATGAATATATGTCTTCTAAATTTCTCTAATATATATTTAGAAAATCATATTTGATATCTATATTGAATATGTATCGATCACTTTACCTTGAATCTAATTCTGTTCTTTCTCAATAAATATCCTTTCTCAAAAGCTAAATAATCTTTGTTTGTTTTTTTTCTCTCAAATTTGAACATGGGAGAAAAAAGAAGGAATTTATATTTATACATTGTATATTATCTCACAGCTTCAACTGCTTTCTCCATAGAACTTATTCAAATTCACAGTAAATTCAATAGAAAACAATTCAAACCAGAGATGGATCGAGGAGGGCTGGCAGAACTGTCGCTCCTGAAAATTTTGATTCTCATTTTCTTTATATTTTCTATTGATAATATATTATCTTTTAAGTTCACCCCTCTCTAATAAAGTTCTACGTCCATTCCTGACTCAAACATTACAAAGAACCCAATAATATGATGTTTACCAACAGTAAAACAATTGAGGCAATATAACAAAAACCTACCATGCAATATAAGAGAAATACCTTGAGCCATTGTCACCAAGGCCATGAAGCCACACTATAGTAGCCTGGTGTTTCCCTTTTGGTCTAACAACATAAGTCCTTCCAAATTCAAGTGTCCTTCTAGCAGTTCTACTACCTACAAAATCATTAGAAAAAAAACATTACTAGAAACCTTATGAATGAATGGCAACAATTGAAAATTCAAGAACTTAAAATAAGTGGCTGTTAGCGATAACGGAGAGTGTTGTTTTCCCTAGAGGTCTCGGATTCGAGCAACTGCGTTTGTAGAGTGTTTGTAGAGTGTTTGTGCATTGTCAACAAGCTAAGATAACATCCGAACAGATACTACCGTGTAAAAGGAGCACACATGGAGAAAGAACTAACCAGAACCCATGGTGTAATGTGAATGGCTCATGATTTAGTAAAAGGACTGAGAAGAGGTGATACAATGAAGAAAACCAAGAGGGGTGTTGCCTATTTATAAGCAAATAAGGAGTGATAATGGAATAAAGAAACAGGTACAACTGGCTACAACATTGAGCCTAAATTGCCTAGAAAACTCAAAAAGGAGACGGGCATCCTTGAAAATGAAGGGGTTAAAAGACAATTACAAATATATATATATATATTATAATATAACATACATCCTTCATAGAGATTTGCAACAATATAGAGAGAATCTATGCCTTGTGGGCTGTGGCCAAAAAATAAAATAAAATGAAGCAAATCTCAAACAGAATATTACTGAAAACAAGAAAAAGAACAAACTAAATTTGAATATAATAATAATATCTTTTATCTGAATCATTTGTTTATGAATTCTTTCATGATTTGATTGATACCCATTATTCAGAAAAGAAGCATAATGTTTCAACTCTTAGACATCCTTGCACATTTTTGGTATAATGGAAATATACTGAATAGTCCCATTTAAAAAACCAATTCTTCCTTTCTTCAATAAACCTCAAATTCTCATGTCATACATACATACATACACAGGGATGGACCGAGCATACATACATACATGTTCTCTCCATTTCTGGGATTTTTTATATGATTATAAAGTTATATCAAACCTGGGTTTTAGAGAAAAGCATGTGGCCTTTTTTTTCTCTTTCCTTTTGCCTGTTTGCCACTTGATATTTGGTTGCTTAAATTCTCAGTCCCACCATGATAAAGCTTTGTTAGTTTATTTTCATGGGGGACACCATAAGTGCTCAAGCACATAGTAATTAAGTCCTCCATTTCTTCAAGGCTATTATCATTGCTTGAATATTGAAAAACCTTGAGCTTTAAGTTTTAACTGGCAAATAAAAACAATTACTACTACTATTTGATTTTGCAAAGTTGCAGAATTGCACTATAGCTTTTGTTATCATCTTCTTGCTGTCATTCATATTTGGTTCTAGATGAAGTGTACAATTAGTCAACATTATTCTTTGAACTCTAAGTTTTTGAACATCATCTCTAGATTGAGGTCGGCACAGTAAAACTGGTTGACTTATGAGAAGAAGAAAAACCTATTGCTGATGTGGCAGGCCATGATTGGTTGATGTGTTGAATGGTGGCATCTGTTACCTCGTAGGTCAACTTGTCAGTGCTTTTTTCTCTTCTTTCTGGGAGAAAAAAATTGAAGCTTTTTCATTGTCAACTCCTCCTTTATACCACAACTCTCATTTGGGGCCAGAATCTATCTATATATATCAATGTAGGTTTAGGTCGAGTAAGCAGTTCGATGTTTCTTAAACAAATTTTAGAATTCGAGTTCTATGAAAGTAAAGGATAGTAATTCGCCTCTAAATATAATCGAGATTTATGTGATTACCTGATAAATCTATATATGTGATGGAATTATAGAGTTTAGTTGCTTGATTCTTGAGTTAAAAATATAACTGAATGACAACATATGCTGCATGCACTACCCGTGAGTGTGGCCTAATTTATTAATGATATAATACAATGCATCAGCCAATATAAAACTATATAAAATACTACTTGATTTGATGTTGAAAGGTTGGAATCTTCAAAATAAATTACTAAAAAGAAAAGAATAATTGCAGCTAATTCATCTGCAAAGCTGGCTCCCAAAATGCAGTGAAAATGAAATCTTATATGGATTCTTAAAAAAAAATCCCAAGGGTTTTTACATAATATAATATGTCTAAGTATATGCTAAGTTTTAAGATATTGTTTGCTTCAATTAATTAATTATTAACATTTTAAGGATATAAACTAACCAAGCGATCTATGTAGTTAAGAAATTTGTTGTTAATTCTTGAGATCCTAGATTTGAACACCATGCATGCAAGGATATGAACATTTATCGTCAAATTGCTGAGACTTGTAATATTATCTTGCATACACTCCAGATTAATAGAAAAACATTTTAATGATATTTTTGGTTAGTGTTATTTAAGATTACGAAAGCACAAATCAAACGAACTTAGTAGTTAAGGGATTGTTGTTATCCCTTGAAGTCCCGGATTTGAGCACCGTATATGCAAAGGTATGAACCTTCATTATCAAATCAATTAAGAACTTTTAACCGCATACTTTAAGATTGTTGAATAAAGCAAATGTATTTTTAAGTGTATTTAGCTTTTAAAAAATGATACATTTAATATCTTTTAAACATTACTTATGAATTTATTTTTATTTCAACCGAAAATATATCAAATAATAACTTTGATATTATTATTTATATATTTAATTTTAGGATGAAATAATAATTCATTAAATTTGTGAGTTAAAATGATCTTTGTAGTTTCAAAGCAAATTTCATTATAAAAATAATTTAATAAAATATAATTCTAAATAATCTCAATCAATAATAAACTTAAGATTTTATATCAAGAGATACAAACTTAAGAAATTATATTAAAAATTTAAGAATATACAATGACAAAATTTTAGAGACGTAAAATTAAATCATTGAAAAAAAATATTTAAAATTTTTAAAAAATATATCCGCACCCCAACATTTCCTCGATCCATTTCTATTGTGGATGATGAATCGTATAATATTATATGATAGAAATAAGCGCATTGCGTATCATGCAATGACAAGACGTTTGGTTGAAAACCATGCATGGAATAGGTATATAGGGGAATTCCCTTTATCTTGTAATGTTCAGTGAAAAATGATAAACTAATGAGTGAATGTGGGTTAAAGAGACCAACGTACAATATTTCTTTACAAAAAAACACAAACAAGTGGCGATGCTCCTTTCCTTACCCTCATTCTCCAAATATAGTATTTATTTAAAATTTATCTTAGCTCCGTTTGTTTTACTGAAAATATTTTTTAGAAAATATTTTTCGTAAAATGAATTATATCTTTTGAAAAATATTTTATGGAAAATATTTTATGGTGTTCGAAATATGTTGTGTAAATCATTTTTTACTAGTTAATGATTTTTTAGAAATTATTTATTGCAAATATAAAATATAATAAATAATATTATTTATTATAAAAACTTAATATTATTATTTTAAAAATATTATAATAATTTATTTAATACTATTTATGCCAATATTATTATTAAAATATTATTTATATAATTTTATAAATAAAAATATTAACTCTAGTATATTCTTTTAAAATAAAAATATGATAAATTATATTGAATATATATAAAAATAAAAATATTATATTATATTTTAAAATTGTTAATAAATATATTTTAAGGAATTTTTATAACATTATTAGACTGTTATATTAATATTAAATACATAAATAAAAGTATTCACTATTAATAATTCAATAATATTATTTTTTAAGAAATTAATAAATAATATAACTTTTATTAATAATTTATTATATATTATTAAAATAAGAATATAATAGTATCATATATTATAATATAATTGAGTATATTATTGTAATAATATTATATTATATTATTAAAAATATTAATAAATATATTTTAAATAAGTTAATAATTAATATTTTTTTAAATGATACTAAAATATCATATTAATATTAAATTTATAAAATAATATTAATTTGAGTATTTATGCTTTGAAGTGAAAAAGTTTAGAAAATGACTTACGGAAAATTAAACCGTAAGTCATTTTCCAGAAAATGCAAAGGAAATTTTGTTGATCAGGAAAATGTTTTACATTGACCAAACTGTTTTCCTCCAACCAAATACTGAAAAATGAGGAAAACGTTTTCCGGAAAATAGTTTACGTGAAATAGACAAACCCTTATTCAAACTAAAACAACAATTTTGATTTATTTACCGTTGCGTCCTAAATAAAATTATAATTAATTCGAGAATTTTCGTATTCATTATAAATTTCGTCAAAGATACGAGACGAAACTTTCATGGTATAGTAAAAGTATTCAAGTTTTTGTGTTTGTACAATTATATATAAAGTCCTAGAGTTTGATGTACTCTTCTATAATCTTTTCAAAATTCATCACTTACACGACTACTTTTTCTTCTTATATTTTATTTTTGTTAGTTTTTGTAAATTTCACTTACACGCTTTCACATAAAGATATGATTCCAATAAATTTGACTTATAACTTTAAATAATATTTTTATTAAAATATCGATCCTACCAACACTAAACTATACTAATGTGTGTGTGTGTATAGGTTGGGAAAGCTGCGCTTTTGCATGTATAGGATAGGAGAGGCATTATAGGCAGGGTTTCTCTTTGTCTCTTTTACTATGAACATATTTTTTTTCTTACAAATGGAAGTATAATTTAATGAGTGAATGCAGGTTAAAGATCGGTGATTGAAGAGACACAACTAACATGTTGTGTTTGAATATTATATCCTTACAGAACATATCACACATTTTCTGATTTTCTTTGAATCTTTTGATGGACGGGTGAAGTTTCCTCCTGAATGCAAGAAAAACTTGTCTTTTCAAGTGAATTATTGTTTAGAATATTTGTTTTTAACAGAATTTTCTGCACCTCCAAGCAGGAAATAAATGTTTTTTTTTTTTTGAAAAATATGTTTGGTTAAAGATTTTGAAGTTTATTTTCTGCATATGAATATAAAATACGTAAAGGTAAATAATAATAATAGAAAATGTAAAAACAGATGTTTTTAACAATATATCACAATAATCATTGATACAGAACAATTAAGGCATAAATGACATGAATTTTAACTCATCGAACGGTTTCAGAGTGAATAAAAGAGTATTGTTCTCTCTTAAATTTCTGAATTTATGCAGTTGTTTAATGATGACCTTCAAAATTGAAGGCCATTAAACCTGTAAGATTCCTTCAAAATTGAGTATGTTTAATGAAATAATGGGGACGGTCGCCATCGATTATTTGGCAATGAAGTTAAACCTAACAAGATTCATAGTTCAAAAAGATGTCCACCCTGTGTCTAAAATACCACCTGAAACAAGACCAAGGGCCAATCAGAAACCAAACATCACAGGTTTTCAAACATTTGAAGGTGCAACGCATGGTATACAGAACTTCCTTCCGTCCTCTCTGAATATTATTCCAATAGAGGGAAAAAACTGAAAACTGCGATTAATGATGATGATCCTCATCACCGTGTCCATCTGGAGGTCCTCCAGGACCCACGACTTCCAGCTGCCAGACAACAGCATAAATAATTAGGAAAATCCTACAATGCTCGAGACAACCGAGTGCATTGAGGCTGGAATGTTCAGACTGCAACTTTCTTTTTATACGGGGCAATGTCAATTTATTTTCAATGGGTGTCCTTCGGGAACGATGTAGAAAAATTATAAAATATATCATACAGCTCAAACATTTGCAGCTCAATCTAATTGATGATTGCTAGTAACATTGTTGATCACAATTACAGGGTTACAGGTGAAGTAGTTAGATGCAAGTTTATGGATAAAATACAGATGAAGTAACACACCAGTTATGGTTCGGTCAACCATGCTCCATGTATGGACTAACAGAAATATCTAAACTGGATATGGATCAGGTGAATGCAAAGAAATAGGCGTCTAGATGTGGGCTCAAATAGCTTAACTCAAAGTTTGAAAATAAAGAATGAAAGTTTTTCAAATTCAAGATATTTACTCACCACAAAATACTGTGAGCAAACAGGGCATTCATGTGGCTTGCCTTTCTCCAGCCAAAACCAGACAACATCATGCTCGTCTTCTGCATTTTTTAAATAGTCAAATGAATTAATATAATTTCAAGCAGAATGACTCAATTTATATAAATCAAGAAAAAGAATAAAAGTAAAAAACTCAGTTATGGCCTAGGAGTGCAGAAAATGAAATTTGATGTAAGAAACATACCGCCTTCACCACCTGGGCATCCAACTATTCTCTTGTTGTAGTAAGACTTGACAACAGCAGGAGCTTCCTACAAGCAGATGAAATAAAATGTCGAGTAACAACATCACCCATGATTCCATAAAAGGTCAATATTTCAGGTTTCCAGCAGAAAGAAAAAGGTTTTATCACCATAAACAGAGGCCCAAACTCAAAATGATAATTTACAGAAGATTATTACTTGGCCATGATTAAAAACAAATGGATAGAACATTTGCAGTATATCAATATAGCAGAAAAACATAGCATTAATTTTTTTTAACACATTCAGGAAACAAAACATTATGTGTACAAACAATTTTCCTTATCTGCATTGTATGATATCCATAATATTCAAATATTTCCAGAAAAGGGAAGCAAAACTAAATGAAATCAATTTAATTTCACATAAGAATAAAATATTTTAACAACCACGTTTAGCATATGGATTATTAATTCTCAATGGAGGATCGATATTCAATATTCAGCATCCCCCTCCCTTCAGGCCTAGTCTAACAGGGCAGTGACTAGGATCCCAACAAAGAGAGGACATGCTGAAGAAAGAATGAAAAAAGAAATATTCCTTGCTTGACGGTAACTAAACATAAAAACTGATATAAGTTTATATAAAGCTGTTAATATCCAGTGCTTGAATCCAAAAATAAATTAAGAACCAAAAGATATCATAATTGCCAAAAAATAGCCAGAAAGAATCACTAGGCAATTCCAACTAGCTAATAACATCAAAAAGCAATCTACAGATAAAAATAGTTACAGGATATATAAACACCAGTTAAAAAAATCAAAAAAAAAAACTTCAAATATAAATGCCCAAAATCCAAGTACTTAAGAAGGCCATATGCAGAAATCAAATACAAACAGAAAAAAAAGGGCAAATTTTAAGCAAATATATAAAGTCAGAAACCATCTATCGCTGCTTCTATATAAGATGATACACAAGCGGTGCAATATGAATTCCTCAATTTCAATACTGTGAAAGATATTTGCAACCCATACTAACCTTTGTCCCAAAAGGGCCAACAGGGTTGTTTACATCTTGAAGAATTTTCTTTCCCTAAAGCAAAACAAAAGAAAAAAAATCAGAATGAGGAAGCCCTGGCCATAAACTGAGAGGACAGAAAATTAATGTAGCCATAATGCTCATAACAATAAAGCAGATAACTCATAACTGAAGTCTTTTATTTAGCCAACTAAGCTGGTTGACTTTTGATTCAATTATGCTCAGATAACACCAAAGCTGGTAGGTTAGCCTGCTGCAATATCGATAACAACGGTTTAGTCGGATGTTGGTTTTTCAGAACCAAAACGGTATACCGTTCACCCCTAAATATAGCTGAAAACTGAAAATTTTCAAACCTAGAAATGTAACATCACAAGAAAGTTCTCGCATTTTAAAGATCAAACATAGACAGCAAAGAGGTAAAAGAAATTCACCTCAAGCTCAGCCTCAAGCTCCTCGCGTTCATGACCGGTGGCGATAGGCATTACATCCTCAACCTTCTTCACAACACTTTCAGCTACACAGCCAAAAAATAACCGGAGAAAAAAAAAATCAAAATCGGATACGCCGAGGAGAACATTATTTTCTAATTTCGAATAAAAAAATAACTAAATAATCTAAAATATTCAAACAGAAAACAAAATGAATATTCAAAAAGATTATCAAACGAATGCAAACGCTTGAAATCAAAACGATTCGTTTCACGAGGAATTAGCCGAAATTAGCGTTACCTGACGCGGCGGAGAAGTGGCGAGTGAGGAGATAAACGGAAGGCGATGACGATGAAACGTTGGATTTGGATAAAAACGGCGCCATTCTGGGAGCCGATCGGCATGGAGCAGTTGCTAGGGTTTTGAGCTGTGAAGTCAACAGCCTTCTCCACATATTTCTGGAAAAATCAAACAAAAAAACTCTTTTTTCCTCTTTTTTCACTCTGCTTTTTGCAGTGCAAATGGGAAGGAATTGCAGCCGGCGATGGGGTTAAACGGGAAATGTATCTTTTGGGTCGTTTCACACGCGCGCCAAATTTGTTACACGTACGAACTTTGTGCGTGAAATTTCGGGGTTTTACGGTGCAATCCCTGGGTGTATGGACTTTGAAATTTGTTTTTGTTAAATTACAATTTTGGTGCTTCTACTAATTTCAAATTTATTATTTAAACTTTATAATTTCATTTAATATTGTTTAGTCTATTTATTCTTATGATATTATTAGTTGGTCTAAATAATTAACAATAGGGGAGGGGGTTAGAGAATTAGGAGTGCTTATTTAAATATTTGCAGATACTGCGTATATGAATATACATATGTAAATATTAATTATTTAAATTTGTATTACTTATTTAGTTATTAAATATGATTTTGAATTATAAAATATGAATATGTTTGTATCTAAGGTGATTCGTACATTGATCGTCAAACTTTAAATTAACTGAACTTGTTAAGTGGTCTTATTGGTAAAAGATAATATCGTTTTTCCTAGAGGATTTAGGTTCGAGTAACCGTGTCTGCAAAGTTTTTATTATCGCCTATTAAGAAAGATTTTGAACAAATATTAACTTTTAATCGTCTTATATTCTTAAAATATCATTATATATTTTTGGATCAACTTGATTATTCAAGTTCTAGTTGAAATGAATCTTACAGTTCGAATTTTCTAGATTTCCTCATGTTATAGAAATATAAAAATTATAAAAAGTTCATAAATTTATATAGAAGATATAATAATTATTAAAAGATCCCAAAATATTCTCCGAACAAATTAGGTTACATAATAGTTATTTTTTTTGAGTAATTCGAAGTTTTATTAGGTTTGCCCAATTTTTAAATGAATTTGATTATTAATTTAAAAATATTATAAATTAATAAAATTAAAAGTAGTAAAATGATAAGATATTATAAAATTATTTTAAAAATTATAAAAATATTAAACATTATTATAAAATTTTAAAATTTTAATAATTAAAAAAAATTACAAAATATAGAGTTTAAATTATAGATTACCTCATTTTGTCTTATTTTAATGTCGGGGGCGGGCTTTTAGTGGGGATTTTTAATGAGCCCCTTTTATCTTTAAAAAAAATCCAATCCCACAATAAATAAAGAATTCCAATAGAAGTATGAATGACATACATTTTTTTTTGAAGTGTTTAAATTTGAGTTAATTACATCGTATGTCCTAAAACTATAATTTTCATTTTAAATTAATCCTTAAACTTTTAAATTTTCGTCTTCAAATTATGATTCTCGTTTTAAATTAGTCATTAAACTTTTCAACATTCTAATTTCATTCCTAAACTATGATCATATTTTTAAATTGGTCCCTAAACTTTTGAATATTCTAATTTCATCCCCAAATTCATCCAAATATGTAATTAGTTTTAACCATAGTTTAACCTAAGTTTTGGTTTTTCAAATATATAATAATATAACTTGGCCTAACGATTTTACAAACAATAGATGTGATTAGTATGTATGTATGTATGTATAGTTTGGGATGAAATTGGAATGTTAAAAAAATTTGGGGACCAATTTTGAATGAAGGTCATAGTTTGAGGATGAAATTGAAATATTCAAAAGTTTAAGGACTAATTTAAAATGATAATCATAGTTTAGTGATGAAACTAGAATATTTAAAAGTTTAGGTAATAATTTAAAATAAGGATCATATTTTGAGGACATAGGATGTAATTAACTCTTTAAATTTAATCGAAATCTTTAGTTCTAATTTCATATGCGTCCGATACATATTTTCATATGTAAAATAATTATAGATAATTTATGTCATTAAAACATTAATGAGCTAATATGAAATATATGTAATTTTACGATTTATCAATATTATTAAAATAAAAACTTGAAAATAACAAAATCAAATGAAATTAAATAATTTCAATAAGAAAAAAAAAAGAATTAAGGTAACATTGGTGAGCACAAATCCGTCGTTTGTTGTTACATCGATAATCCTAAAGTGTAAAATGATTTCACTTTCGGACACTAATCAGCTTCACATCATCCACCACAGGTCCACAGAGAGAACCTGAGTTATCATTTTTCATGGTGTAAAATGTGCTATAGAACATTACCCTAGTCCGAGTCGAATCGGCTTTAAATCGGAGCGTCGCCCGCTTGAATCCTCCTTTACCCTTCGAGTCATACGTGACCTTGACGGTGTTTCTGTTTGCGAATGCTTCAACCACCATGGAACCTTCACATGCGTTGTTAGCATCACCAATGGCGAAGGAGAGGACATAGTTCTTACTAATCATCGTCTTGACGACTTGCGAAAGGGAACTTTCTTTACCGGCGATGAGTTCGATCGCACGATTGCCTTCTGGTACGGTGAAGTGTTCGCTGTCAATGTACTTAACTGCTTTGAGGGAGTCAATAATCCAGCCTGGTAAAGGACTATGATCGTCTTCGATTTGGGGTGGAATTATGACTCCTTCCGAAGTTGGTGCTGCGAAAACGTAAGGGCCTTCTTCGAAATTTCCATTCTTTAGTAGATTTACTGCAAATGTTGGACCAAACAAGTTATTGATCATGCTTCAAACTACTAACATCAAACATTACTGTATCATGATTATGATGTTTGATGTTCGACTTTATTTACCTCCGGTGCGTTTCGGAGGGTGCAAGGTCTTCAACGCGACCGAATCAATAAGAGGGCCACAAGCAGCATCTTCCTCGACACCCGGATTATGTATCGAGATCTCGATTACAGGCTCATCGGCCTGGAATGCCCATGCATACGAATCCCATCCATTGCTGCTGTACATCGTTTGGATTGGGAACAAACCGAAGTCGTTCTTCTCGTAGTTGGGCGAGACCGACACATTCAACTTCTCTTCTTGCGCACACGTCCGAGCCGCGCTGAAGGTTAGCGAGTAATACATGCCTTTAATCACCTTGAGCTTTTGCTTAATCAGTGCCTCATTGCCTAATCTAACAGCAAAACCTCCTTCGGGTACTATTAGCAACATGTCACCTTGTTTTTGACCTGATTTTATGTACTCAACGTAGCCTGAAACTTCCCAATTTGGTATTGCCTTTCGGCTCATCACTTTGGTTCCTTTCAATTCTGATGTCTTTGGTCCATACTCAAAGTTACCATTTGGTGATAATCGAAAATCGATTCAATCACCAAAATTAAAGCAGAGTAAAAATAACAACACGGCGATCCTATGCATTTTTCCTTTTTCTTTTCAAGCAATCAGCGAAGGAAAGAAAAGAGAATTTGGATGGAAAGATGATGAGTGCCAATGTGTGCTTTTATTTGCATAGCTGTAGAAGAAAGCCACTAGTATTATACCAGAACTACATGAATGCCATTATACTCCATAACCCAATTGGATGGAAAGATGATGAGTGCCAATGTGTGCTTTTATTTGCATAGCTGTAGAAGAAAGCCACTAGTATTATACCAGAACTACATGAATGCCATTATACTCCATAACCCAAAGTTTTTCAATTTTATAAACAAATTAATATAGTATTTAATACACTTACAAGCCGAATCCCTTAAGTGATTTTAACGGTTAGAAAGAATGTTATTCTTCTTAAGGTCTCGCGTTCGAGCAGTATATCTATAGGATGTGTGTATTGTCAAATGATTAAAAGATATTATAAACAAATACTACCTTATAATCACTTTAGACAATTTAAAAGAAATATACTTACGAAATTAACATAACATGGATACATAAACATGAGATAATCAACATGAAATATAAGTTTATTATTCCGTGTCTGTCGGCAAACCATGTGAAAATACATATAAGAATTTGGATTTGAGTTTGGGATTCATTGGATTTTTGTTTGTGCTTGGTATTCCTTGTCTGTCGGCAATAATTCTAAAGTTTATTATTTCCTTGCATGTGCAATAAGAGTATGGGATATGGGATTGGGAGATTGGACGAAGATCTCAAGAAGCTACATTTATGTTATTGGTGTTCGTTATCGTCTAAAGCTCTTTGGGTCCGATTATTTTTTGGATTCAATCGAACTAAAGCTTTTTCAATGTCTGTTTTTTCTATTTATAATATCTTAAAATGTTTTAATTTTTTTAGGTCGTTGAATTAGTCGAGTTTAATGGTTATGATTAAAAAATTTAAATTAAAGCTAATTTATTTCATAAAATTCTCCTTATTTCTTAACATTAATCTTGATTATAGTTTTCACTTTTCCGACCATTCAAAAAATAAGTAAAAGTTTTATACCACTCCAAAAACCGAGTAATTGAAGATATGAACTAGATTTCATTGTTAGCTGCTCAAACAAAGCTTAGGGGTACTCCATTATTGTTAGGGATGTTGACTTAAATTTTAAAATAGTTGGAGAGTATGAACCAAACGACTTCAGCAGTTAAAGAATTTGTTGTTATTCTTTGAGGTCTTGGATTCGAGCATCGAATGCATAGAGGTATGAGCTTTTTTTGCTAAATAGTTAAGAGTCTTTGAACAGATAGTACATTGTATTCACACCAAATTTATCAAAAAATAGTTAGAGAAAGTTTTAAAAGAAATTAACAAGCTTTAAGGGGTCATCCCTCTCTCTCTCTCAATCTATATATATATATATATATATATATATCATAATGTAGTTTTATAATTTCTCGAAATAATATTGGAGTGTGTAAACATTTCACTAATGGTAGATCCAGAAATACTTTTTGAGGGTGAGTATACATATATATTAATAACATAAAATTTTTATACGAGATAAACACAAATAAAATTTAAAGGTGGACATCATTAATGGAATAGGTAATTACAGAAGAAAATTCAAATTTTAAGGTGTACAAGCATAAATCGATCATTACATCTTACAAGATCAAGAGAGTGTAATAGTTATAATTAGACTCTAACCCGAACTAAAAAAATATAGTTCTATCAATTCAAAATTGAATCTTACTTGATTCATTTTTCGTGTAGGAGTGATTTGGTTATAATAAAATTTTAATTAAAAGATTAGATCATAACTTTTTAAAATTAGATGACTTGTTTATATTCTAGCTAATAAATGAGTGATCTAGAGTTTAATTTCCTTAATATTTATTTTGGATGGAGATGAAAGGAGAATAAATCTGGGTAAAATGTTGGTCCAAGATCCCAATTTGATAGCTTAATTTGTTTTGTCTGTCCCATGCAATTTAATAACCCAAACTATGGGATCAAATTAGGGTAACAACGGACTGACAGGAGAGTCTCTGACGAAATTTTAGGGTTTCAAAGAATATAATAACATATCAAAACCTTCTTGCAGAGATTTTGCAATTTTCTATGAGATGGATCTCAAGAAAATGGCCGAGCATATGATATTTGTCAGTATCGGCAGCATTGCATGTGCAGCTAATGGATCAAACTTGTGTCGAGTATTATCGATTACGTTGACGACAATGATCACGTCAAAAGATTATAGAATATAACTTTTCAGATGATATGAAATATTAAAAGTGTTAAAATATTTAAAATATAATAATAATCGATAAACAAAAATTAATAATAAAAATCATGAAAAAGTACTATATTTATTTTGATGATTACACCAATCAAGACAAATTCTTCCACCGCATATTCAAGTTTTATCTAATTTTTATCATATTATTTTCTAGCCAATACAGATAATTTATTTTACAGTAATATCGTTATTTTTGTTTCTTCTCTCATATTAATTACATTTCCGTTCATAAATTCTTAACAATCCCATATCTAAATTCGTGGCGGCTTCACATGGATACAAAAATATATGCATAAGTGGTCATGGTGATTGAGGAGGAGGAAGAAAGGATTGACGTCCATAAACTCAAACTAGTGGAGTGGTGAAGGAAACGTGGGAGCTTCGAAAATCCTACGTTTGAAAACAAAGATATAATAATGTCTGCACGCCCCCACCTCGAGTGTCATCGTCTTCAAAATATGCTAGGGGATCGTAATAAAGGACGAAATACATAGAAAATATAAAGAAAATATCTGAATTAGTTTTAAAAATCATTTCTTAAATCATTATGAAAATATTGGTCGAGACGTTTAATTTTATCAAACCATCTGCTGTCGTGTTTGCTTCTCATTTTATAAGCTTAAGATCAATGAACTAATTTTTATTACAAAACAAGTCGATGGAACGAATTAGGAGGATGAGAATCGAAGTGGTCAGATATATAGAAATTGGTCGAGAAATATTGACATTATCAAGTTACAGCTCGACGAATTTGAATCGAGAAAAAAAATTATACTAACAAGGAAGACATGTAACAAAAAGATGTTCATGTTTTCCAATTCATCTATTGAGTTTTCATGGAAAGAGAATTACATTTTACATATACTAAGAGGTTGATTGGAGGAAAAAGATTATCTAAGAACCCTACATGATTGTTCATGTTTGTCAACTCATCTCATTCTTCCTCAACAATATCATTTGGATGAACCTGCAAAATACATACAATTATGCATGAAAATTATTATCATCTCAGATCTTCGTATTCGTGTGTAAAACATTAATGTCGAACATAAATATTTCAAGAATCGAAAGGAAATTAACATCACACCTGGCCTTTCCTTTCCTCTCCGAAGCTAACGGTTCGGACCTTTAACTCCCCTCTGCTTGTTGTCAACTCGTCTAATAACTCAGCATCAAATCTTTCAGCTCCATCATCTTCATTCTCAATACAAGATGTATCCATGTCCTAAAAAACAAAATTATTACTATTAATATAGTTTTAATGACTCCACAAACAGAGAAGGCCCGAGGGGAAATACCCTTGAAGAGAGGCCGAGGGATGATCTTGGGAAGGCTCCAGTCATTTCCTCGTATTCGGCCGCATCGAGTTCCCGGAGATAATTTGGGAGGATGATCTTTGGGAGAATGTATTGTCTTATGATGATGAGAAGGAAGAAGGGCAAAGGGAACAAGATTCCAGCTATGGGAATCCATGTAACACCATAGCATATTAGGAGATATACGAGCTGGAAGAGCGTAAACATCGCGATATATCGGTATGGTACCCACTCCACGAATGAAGCATGGACACCTGCCAATACCCTGCAAATCGGATCATTGAATCTAATCAGAAATTAGCAACATTGCCTGGTAATGTGTTTACTGCAAAATGACCACTAAATGAGTCCACTCTTGTTTTTGAAATTTCTGGATTTGCATACTTGTATCGCCTGCTAGGTGTAATGAAGAGAAGTAGCATCCTTTCCCAGAACTGATTCCCCGGAAGACTGTCGATGGCCATGTATGCGAAATATCCCCAAAGAACCGATGTAGGTATCAACTTGATTGCAGGCATAGCACATACTGATGCAGCAACTAGGAGTGACTGCAAAAGATTGCTCACTCTCTGCTCGTTAACTCGAACGGGCAAGTAGGCATCAATATGCTTTTCGGGATCGAATTTTTCCTTCTCGATTTCTCCTTCCTTTTCACCTTTCATAACTGCCTTCTTCAAGTCTTCCAACTCCTTAACTACTGCAGTCTGCAACAGGAATAGACGCAGGCATTATATAAGGTTTATCGACATATATTCGGAGAATATGGACCGGCTATTCGAGGTTCAATAGCATGTTTCAAGACATGGATCACTTTCTTGAAGAAACAATGACAAACAATGACTGATCTCAGAGAACTTACTTCTGGACTCTTGTCCATATCGATGAAGACCGCCTGCAATTTGCCATATATCTCGGAGTTGCTAGCCTTCTGATTTATGCTTTCTTTCGCACTCGCCACCATTTTTCGTCTGATCAGCTGCATTTCATACATCAGTTGCAATTTAGCATGTAACCATGTCCATAATTCTTTGTAGGAAACTTTCATTTAGGATATACTTATCCACCTGCCCTTTGAGAACTGCAAGGCTCTTGGTATGCATAGGAGACTGTGGTAGGACACCATTCGAAGGAGGGAGACCGATTAATCCACAAAGTAAAGTCTGCAAGCATGTTTCGACGGTAAAACATTATGCATACGATAAGATTGTTTATTAGTTGGCTTCAAGTTGTGTTTGATCTTGAGGTTTACCATGAATCCGAGCAGCAGGATGTCGTAATGATACGCAGACGGATTCTTGAGATTGAATTCCTTTTGTTGTGCCATCTGTGACGCAACACTGTGGTCGAAAAAGTAAAGTCCCGCGATCATCACAGCTGGAATGAATGCAGCAAAGATATACAATGGAGGGATCCTTCCCATATCCTGCAATTTTATTGTTTGTTTATTAATGGAGGGCCATTGTTATCACTACAAAAGCTTTAGAGATCTATCATTGATGTAAAGGTTGAAGACATATACAAACACCGAATATGATTACCGTAATTACAGTCCAATGTTGCAACGATGCAGATTCCCATGGCATAGGACTAAAGAGCCTTCTTGGAACCCCAGATGGAACTTTGCTTGGTACACTAAAAGACATTGCTGTCCACACTACAACCATTAAAGGGACCCCATAGTCTGCAATGAAGCTTCTAAACCACCCTGTTCCATACCACCATGACCTCGCCCTTCGGCTTTTCAAGGCGGTATAGAGAAGGCCAAACGAGAATACGATTCCCAACAGTCCATTTGTGTAAAGCCATTGAAACTGATACTTCTCTAACTTCGAATCTTGATCTTCGGGAACTTGAAACTCACTCACCAATCCCTGCAAAATGAATCATTAGTAGGTGATTTAAACATTATATAGCGGATAATTTGTTTTCTTCGATCGAATTTCACCTTGATGGCCTCTTGAATAAACAGAACACTAATCAACATGCCGAAAAGCTCGCCGGCAACCCTTGTGAACCGATTGATTATCGTGCAAGCATTGAAAGTTGCAAGGAGAAACAACAAGAGAGCAGTCCAAATACAAACCCTGCAAACATATTTATGAACTTATAAGATCAAGTACACCAAAACTTTTCGATTTAAACCGAAAACAATGGAGAATTCTGTTTACCATCCAGCCCAAGCCAAGTACAATTCTTCAGCTAGGACTTTTATCAAATGTATAGGGAGGGTATACCCCAATCCTGAACGAATACCAGCAACCCAGTCTTGTTTGTAACAAGCTGCTCTTCCTTTGACATCATTTGCAATACCCTTGAAAGGAGCTTTCAAGTTTTCCATTTTCTAGTGCAGGAATTACAGAAAAAAAAAGGTTTAGAAACTGAAAAATAAATGTTCAAGATATATATGTGTATGTATGTATGCATGAATGGAATCAAAGATCAAAACTTGATTTCCCTTCATCCTTTTTCCTAGTAACCAAACACAACATTTGTAGCCTAACTTGTTTGGTTTCACTTAAATAACCACCCCCACCGCCGGCCGCCGCCAAAAAAAGCCATGACGCGTTCATGCACTAACGAAGCTTAAACGACGTTGACATGTGTAAAAAACAAATACACATTTCATGCACATAACAAGAACAAATAAATGAAAAACGTTCGGATTGGTTATGGATGCCAAGGAATTTGGAGAGTTACCAAGAAGCAGAAAACAGCTGGAAGAAAAAGAAAAACAAAGGCAACTTCGAAATAGCTTATAGCTTATAGTCCGAGAATTTAAT